CTCTCATGTCTTGCTTCACTAAATGAACAACAAATAAAAAAAACAATCTGAAGGCTTCAATCCAACAGTCCACAAACCAATGGGTGACTTCACTGCGACTACTCCTTAATACAGTCTGTGGTTTCTAACAATCAATACAAATGTTTGATATCCGCAAAAACATACGTGCCTAGTACATAAATAGTCGCAAGTTATACAGTCAGTGGTAAAACGGGGTTATAAGCGTTCCTCCTGAAATATTAAAGAGCTCCTGGGTTGCACTTTATAGAGCATGTAATTCGCCTGAGCTCTAATTAAAGGCTTCTCCCAGTTTTCACACATGTTCGGATGTGGATTTAAATGTAAGGATGCTAGGATTAAACAGCCAGACCTCAAAACACTTGACCCTTTAAATTCTGCACTGGCTTAGCTGGAGTCAGGCATAGCTGGAGTCAGGCTCAGTGGAGTTTGGAATGTGCATGATTTGACTGACTTCGTGACAGTGAAAGTCTGCTGTTGCAGGTGAAGACTCTCCCTCTTCTAAAATGCGTAGCCGGTTCTAGCACCTCACTGCTTGTGTGATGTAAGCTGCGAGCGAGCTCAGCTTGACAGAGGGGGATTTTGGGCTAGTCGAGATGAAACGGGATGTCTGAGTCTCCTCGCTACAATGATATCCTCTGGATTTACTTTTTGCATGACAAAGGAACTATTGAATCAACTAAAAATAGAAATTCAGCACGTGACTGGGATGCCAAAGTGCATTTCTCACCTCAACAAAAAACAGTTAATTATTAAGTATTAAGAACTTTCTTTTCCGATTATTTAACAGCACACCGTATTAGTTATTCATTGAAGAGATTTAATTACTACAGTCACAAAAGAGACACCTTTTTTTATATTTAAAGATAATAATGACGTTAAAAAACCAACTTCCTTGTCTTTCCACTAACTAATGACTTTTAAAGATTACTATGAACAATGCATAAGAGTTGAGGTGTGAAACCCTCACAGAAGAAAATGCTCTCCACCTGACAGACTGAAGTATAACCAGGTCAACAGGAACACGCTCCTTTGGTTTGAAATGTGTCTCATGCCCTCTGTCATTTTATTCTTGGTCTGCGTCCGTGACTCACTTCCTGGTCCGACTGTTTCACCCCTAGTGCTGCTCCAAGATCTGTAAACATCTACAACCACAGGAAGTGGAAAAGCCTGATTACGAGGGCACTTTGTTCGGCTCCAGCTGACTGCAGCGATAAGTAAACAAGTGGTGAGATTTTTTGAATTGCCTGATGAACAGAAACGTGTTGAAAACACTGAGTGCTGCGGGAGGATGGAAGCAGATACAAATGATCCCCAGGGCCTCGGGAGAACCTGGGTAAATGTCAGCAACGCATTGCCTGGTCTAAGTTTTCCCAGCTGACTTTTAATGTTTCTATTAGACTAGAAGTAAACTGTTGTTTCCATTGCCTCTTTCTGTTTTACCATTGCCTTTAATTGTACATTTACACAAACCTTTCGCACCTTTTTCTAATAGTTTTTGAGTTCTGGGAATCCGCAAGTCATCTTCTCATCTATCTTTTCACAACCCACCTAGCCTCCAATGTTTTTCAATACTTTAATTCAGAAAACCTGAACCTAGTGCAAGACAAAGCTAGACAAAATAGGAAAACCCAAACAGCATTTTCAAATTTCCACGCATCTATCAAGCGCAACACAACTACAGAGCATTTTCCAAGCCAATTTGTCTTGCGGCTGAGGTAGAAAAAATATGGCATATCAGACAGCACCACATTGTACTCAAGACACACACTTGTAAACAGGATTCTCTAAAATGCAGCCAAGGAATGACAAAAGCACCTTCCAGCAGAGTTGTTTACAAGAGGAATATTCAAAACTTCTTCTCTCGCTTGTTTTGTCCAACCCCACCATTCCTCTTCGGCCCTGCCTCGCCCTTGCCAAACCTCCCTGGTGTGTTCCAACCCGCCAGCCCCAAAGAACAGCAGAAACCACTGAAGCGGCATTCCAAGAGGCTCCTCCGAGACATGGCTGGGATAAATCACAAGGAGTAAGGAAGACCACGCTGCGCTATCCAGTCAACACAAGTAAACATGATCACTTGCACACACGCGGATCTGTGTGCAAAGTGCCAAAAGTAAACCCTGAATCTAGTCAAGTATGTTGATCTGAAGTTCCAACAGTGATCCAGACTGTCCACAACTGGATTCTGATTGGTTTCTGCCATTGAGGAAGCTCTCAGACAAGATGTTTTTCAGAAAAATCTAAAGTAAACACTAATTACAGCCTCAATTTTAAGGGATTAGTTCATCAGGAATTCACCACTACACACTGCATATGAGTCCAGAAAAGCACTGCCAGGGAAACATTTTGCACATTTTTTGAAAGTCTTGAGCATCTTGCCTCTAACCAGCCAGATTTCCAGCCAAAACCCCACTATCCACCTCAACATAGACAACCACAACAACTGCGTTAAGGTCCCCAAGTCCATCTCCAATACAATCTGGCGTGATAACTCATTTGTCGCCAAGCTAGAACGTCCTCAGGACTCGGAAAAACAGCGGTTCACTCAAAGACGTTTGCGGTTGTACAGAAAGGAAAACAGAAACTGAATGGTAGCCAAAGACTATCAGCCGTTCTTCATCAGGACACATCAGTGGACACATCTGTCTTTTGGATGTTCCGCAAAGACATTTTCATAAGCTTTAGAAATGAATGATCGAGCCCGTATGCGGTGACAGATTACCGGAGCAGAAGGGAAACATACTAATACCGATACACATCAGTAATCGTTCCACTGACAACAAGATTACAGGGATGAAGGGGAAATGTTTTATTGACTTGTAAAGGTGCAATAAGTCAGATTGTTTAGAGGAGTGAATGTCACTGTATATCTTCTTAACAATCTTACTTTCCATGTTATCCCTTTGGAGCACAAAGCCGCAAGACAGTGATGTTTTTAGGTACTTGACCAAATGAAGAAGTAGTTATACTATTACAATATATAGCAGGGTGATATGCAGTGATTCTCATTATGGCAATTACAGCGATTTCTAATGAGATGTTTCTATGTATGTTATTGCAATGTCTCTAGTCAGTAAATGCCACTAAGAGCTCCGAATAAATGTTATTCATGCCAAAAAATACTAACATTTTTTCATTATTTGTTTGCATTTCATACATTAATTGTATCAAATGTTGGTTTTCTACATGCTATTTAATACACTTGAATGAACTAAATGTCTTTTATTTGAGTTATTTTGTCAGAATTTAGTAACTTAAAGATATTGAGTGCAATAAAGTAATTAAAGAATGCAAACTAATATTAAGGTAAAAAAAAAATGACCATCCATCAGATGTTACATAATCATTAGAAAAACGATTCTTTTGTCCATTCCTAATAGCAATCATATAACTAATTGCAAAGAAGAACCGTATAGTTCAGACGCTTTGTGTAAATAAATTATATTTAACATATGTGTCTCTCATCATATGTTAAGAACATTTACGTTTATCACACGCTCACTAAAGTTAGAGTAGGCCCCATTAAAATGTCGTAAAAACACAGAGATGCTGCATAAAAAGTAGTAACACTACCGTTAAAGCTTTGGAACAACTGTCCTTTGATGTCCCGGTTGCTATAAAGCATGAAAAAAGGGAAGCAGCTGTTTCACGTCTACAGAACCGCGAACCACTGGCGACGACTTCATTGTGCTTCATGACAAATTTACGGTTCAAGGTCAGCGTGGAGCCGGCTGAAGAAAAAGCATCTCGCTCTGCCTAAATCCACAGGCTTTCATTTTCCTGAACTTTTACGGCCTGAAACAATGAGCCATACTGTTTCCTGTTTATCGAGGGTCATTTCACTCGAAAGGCGCCAACACAAATGTTTAAGCCAATTTAGGGATTAGCACATTAGCAAATAAGGATTAGGGATATGGAGCCAAAGCTGTAACTTTTTAACCAAATTAAACACAATTTCAATCCTCATCAATTCTTCTCTTCCCAGACACAAAGCATCCAATGTCTGTCAGCACCAGAATGAGTGACTCATGACTCTGGTTATCCTGATTATTCCCCCAATTGCCACCACAAATGGCTTTGCCTGGTTCTAGAGGTATTTGGGATGTTTCTTCTACGCAGCTTTTGTTCCTACAGTAATGTTTGGGTAGAAGGATGGTTTTTGGTGATGTTTTTGGGAAGGAGGTAACTAGTCACAACTAAAACCACTAAGAATAACCTTCTTACGATCTGACACCCCCGCCCTTTCCCTGCCTCCTCTCCATCATTCCTTCCTCCCTTCCTTCCTTCCTTCCTTTCCCTTTACTCTCCCCATGCATTCTTCCCCTTTCCACTGAAGATTGGGATCAAATGTTGGTCGTGTGCAGTGAAGACATTTTTTTTCTTTAAATATACTGCAGTTTAGAATAACAAAAAAGTTCCTTTGCAAACAAATGTTAGATTGCAAATTTCAGATGTATTGATTGGCGCAAATGCATGGGTTGGAGTTACTGGTCAAAAACAAGATCATGTTGTAAATATATGTTTTAATTTAGCAAAATGAAGCTGTATTCTTTTGGTTGGAATCCTCTGTATCTGCAAGCTGGCCTCATTGGTGGATATTGTCACGAAAAAAGTATTCTTTATAATAAAACTAATAAAAGAATACCCCTTGTTGTTCACTAGCAGTGCCTCACGTCTCATGTTTAAGCACTTAGGACTAGGATGTAGGTGTGCTTGGAAGCAGATGCTGATAGACGTGTCAAAATAAAGGCGCAACGTGAAGATCATTATCTGTTACAAGTCATAGCTTAAGATCAGTGATCATACATCGATTGTTTCAAGAGAGAAATATTAACTTTAAGAACTATAGATAGAGCTGCTTTAAACTATTTTTTAACAATATAAAGACAAACTAAAAAGGAAAAACAATGACCAAGGTCACGTGTATCGACAGAACAAGTATATACTCAGTCATAAAAAGGAGTAAAAGATTATTGTCTTACCTTGGATTCACATTTTCTATGAAGGGACAACTTGCACACTGGAAGAGAAGAGACAAAGTTGGGTTAGCAGAGAAGAGCACACCTGGATGAAAACACAAAGAAACACACAGTCTCTACCTGAGAGTCCATTTAAGAGAGTCACTTTTTAGAAGTCAATGATTGTCAATTGCAGTTGAGTATGTAACTGTCTTTTTACTCAGCTGTGTGTATTGCTGAATGTGCTGCAAAGGAAACAAGGTCAGCTCCATCCTGACTAACATGCTGTGGTGCTGCCCCCAAGTGGCCACAGAAAGCAAACATACATCCATACATGTGTTTGTTTTATCTTATTACGACCCTTTAGAAAGAAGTGTAACATGGTCCAATAATATGAAACGACTGGATTATTCCCAATAGAAGTAGGAGTTTTAATAAATATTGAGAAACAGTGAAAGGATGGACCTCTAGGTGTGAAAAGGCCATGTTTCTGAGTGTGTACAGGTAGGACAGTTGACCCCCCCCACACCTGCTCTGTAGGTGGTCCCCAGGTGGTGTGGGTGTTTTTACATGTGTGAGCAGAAGTGACGGCGGTGTTGGTGCAGGAATGTTCCGGGTAGTCTCACAGAGAGAAGCTAGAAAAACACTGGTTCATTTATGCAAGCCATGTGTAATGGTGATAAATGGAGCGCTTGGTCATTGTGTGTGTGTGTGGAGCTGATTGGTAATTATTTGGAGTGTTAAGTGAATATTTGTCCATCTAATTATCTACTTATTACTGACTCATATTTCATTGAGTTGTTATCGCTGGTCATGCAGGTGAAATCCTAGCTTAGAAATAATTCTGGAGCATGGTTTTAACAAAGCAAAATGCTTAAATCTGTATGAAAACACTAGTTTTAAAACTAACGTATCTTCCCCTTACTTGCCTATGGTTGCCTGGCAACTGGTTCCAGGTTATAACAGTATGCGAAGAGCGTGCAGGTGACAAAACAACCTCAGTCACTTAAGACTGTGTAAATCCGCAACACATCTGGATGTCAATGACACATTTGATCTCTTTGTCCACAAGCCCTCTAGCAATGTGGCCTTTTCACTGGGGCGCCTAGCAACACTTCCTGGTATCTGTAAAGGGCAGGGAGGATGTCCAATGTGTAGTGAACATACAGTGCTGTAAAACTCTCACATTTAATAGCACTTCTTCGCTGATTAAACCGCGTTTGCGCACATGAAGCTGCTCCTGGGGGCCGTTTTGGGCTTTCAGCTGGATGACTTTAAGCTTTAGCATTTGGCAAGGGAAGCTTACTGTATTTTAACATAGGGGATGATTGAACAAAAGGGGGATGAAAGGGGGAGTAATTCTCCCGTGCTCCCCTTTGCTCTCTTTTCCCTTTGTTTTGCATGCCTATCTCCAAATCCCCCTATACCCCAATTTCTCTGTCTTTATCCTGCTTCGCTCTACCCCCCCCACCCCTTACCCCTCTCTCCCTTTTCCCCCTCTTATCTAGGCTAATGCAGCAGCAGCAGCAGCACCAGCCATGCTAATTTTAACAGCAAATCCTCAGCCAAAGCCCTATACAGGCCCGCTCTGCTACCACCGGGCTTCCACTCGGCTCCTGCTAAAGACGCAGTGTTTGTACTTCAAAAGGGAAAGAGGGAGAGTGTGAGAGAGAGATGGATGGATGGATGGAAGGAGGGAGACAAGAAAGAACATTTGAGGCTGCCCGGGAGTCCTTTCACGTTAATTTCCCCTGGACTTTTTCTTGGAGTGACAATAAAACCTTCAGTTCTTCTAAAATTAGAACCAAAATCGTGCGAGTGGATAGTGGAGGAAGACGGGGCTTAAAGGGCAGGGAGGAAGATGGGAGAGACACCGAGAGTAAAAACAGCAGACACATGCAAACATGCAGACTGTGTGCACACGTTGGAATAGAAAGGCAAAACAAAGGAGATGGAGACTGAGAGACAGATGTAGAATACGGCTGCCAAACACATTTTACATCACTGAGGACTGAACGGATTTAGACTTTGGGACTTTGAATAAAACTAGCTTTTCAGTTTCAAGAAATGTGATGCATGTTCTGAGCTTTTATATTCTAATATGATCAAATCAGTTCATACAAATGTGTAAAATAAGTTTAAAGGGGCCCTATTCTGCGTATTTTCAGGTTCATATGTATTTTGTGTCTCTACTGTTTCCATGCTTCAATGTTCAAAAAGCTCTTTATTGTTCTCATACTGCCTGTGCTGCAAAACCTCTTTTCACCCTCTGTCTGAAACCAGAGCCCAGTCTGCTCTGATTGGTTAGCTGGCCGGCTCTGTTTTGACTGGTCAACCTCTTAGAGATGAGACTAAATTGCACATGTCTTGGTTATATAGAATGAAATGTTTATTAATGGCCAATGCAGATATTTAATGTTACTACCTTATCTGCCAATATGTTTCCATACCCTTATGCATCCCTACTTTATTATATCCCCATTGGTTTGGAATGTCTTGATTTCTTGTGTTTTTCCCCAATGCATGCTGGGACAACACCCAAGCCCTCCTCAACAGGAATCAGAGTCTGAGTGAAACTCACCTTTGCAGATGAAGCCCTCCTTGGTGATGGCCTGCTTGCATATATCACAACTCACGACCTTCTTGAACGGCTTCAGCTTGAAGGTGTGTGTGTGGACGCCCTCCAGCTCTTCAGGCTGTGGGAGGAAGAGGAAGGAAGAGAGATCAGGAGGGAGTCGGTTGAACGGCTGCCAGCAGGTCCTCGGCCAATAGCAACACATTTGGGATTCAGCTATGATATATTGGTCTGCGGCTGCTGCATGTTAGATCTCAGGCTTTGATGGCTTCGGTGAACTGGTTTTACTTGTACCTTTAAATGTGTATATATTTCTTTATATGTGAGACAAATGCTTAATTTTCCTAAAAAGCTTTAGAACAAGTTGGATTCATTTGTATTGATGAAGTACTTTCTCCAGGGTAAAATACTGATACATACTGAGAATTGACAAATATTACAGTACAACAGTGAGAGATCAGAGCAACTTTTTTTGTAAATGGTTCAATGTTTTCTCACATTTTAAATAATAGATGATGAATAAACTGATCAAACAGGTGATACTTGTTTATTTCAATCATGTTGAAATGTCTAAATTAATCTTTCTGGCCTTTTTTAAACCAAAAATGCAACATTATACAGTAAAGGTCACATTTTAAAATAATAATAGGTTTTTCTACACATACAGTTTTGATGTTTATTTGATCAAAAAAGACACACTTTCATAGCTGAGATGATTTTGTGTCCCAATGTTGCATGGACCTGCACACACACGACACACACTGACATACTGTAGCCCGCCCACCAGCAGAGGATGCTTTCACTTTGAAGTTTTTAATTAAATGACTAATTAATGATGAAGAGGAGAGAGGGGGGAAGAAAGAAGCCTCACAGCAGCCAACAACCTCAAAAAACTCTAGGAATGATGTACGCCTGGGTGTGTGTGTGTTTTCATAGTGTACTGTATGCATGCATGTATGTGTGTGTGTGTGTGTGTGTGTGTGTGTGTGTGTGTGTGTGTGTGTGTGTGTGTGTGTGTGTGTGTGTGTGTGTTGGAATATTTCCTGCCTGAGGACACAGAAGCTCTAGAAACTGCACCAAAAACTGAGCAGAGCAGAGAGGAATAAAAAGTGCTCAGCATTTTCTGCATACCTAAAAGCAATGATATTCAAATGACCGTGATGAAGGTGGGGTTGATGTGTTCATGTGAGGTGGGGTTGATGTGTTCATGTGAGGTGGGGCTAACAGAACATTTAAAAAGGAACCCTAGAGACCTCTGCAAAATGAATTCCAGGACTTGTTTACGATGTATTCGTGACATTCCCAACACTTTCAAAGCATCATTAAAACAAAACTGTCCTTCCAAACAGCTGCGCATTACTCAATGCTGATTTGAACCAGGAGGATAACGCAGCCAAGAAGACTGTAACTGGGTCACTAGAATTTCCCTTTGATGGTGCTTTAACTTTTAAGCAGCTCAACCTGACATAGAGTTTAAAAAATTTGGGAAAAAAAGAGAGTTTTTTAGGACCTTTTCAGTCATTTTTTCACAGTTTGGGGCCCAAGTGACGCAATGCAAATTACGCAGGTTTTAAGTAATATATATTATTTTAATAAGAGCTAGCTTGACACTATTTCAGAAAAAGTATGCAGCTATTGAAAGCTGCTTATTTCGCTCACCCCTTGTTTCTCACCTTCCACCACTTTACTACTGATCTCTTTTCGCACAATCCCTCTGACTGAATAACCCCCTTGGTGAGTCATAATGATGATGTCATTTCCTCTGTGTATTTGTGCAGCTGGGCCGGTCTAGGCTGGGCTCTGCTGGACTGTAAACTTTATTGAAAGCAGTATTTTAAAAGACACCTTGTTCCAACTATCACCTTGAAAGAGTCTCTTCAAGAACTCACGTGGAAACAATCCCGTGAATCATCTGAGAGGGATTGGTCGTTTTTTGTGTTATCCGCGGCTACATTTTGAAATAATTATTGTAAATGCTGCATCGATTCCCAAATAAACCAAAGTGAATAGTATCACATTCATATTAAATAAATCAAACCCCAATGTCAACAAGACCATTTTCTTCCAACTACGCCAATTTTCAGCAATGAAAGTTGGACCGACCAATCAGCTTATAGCACAAACTTCCCTCAAAGCTTTCTTTCTACATCTTTCTAAAATTGGGCAATCCCATCCCATAATCAGTGTAACAGTTGTCAGCATTGCATTCCACCAATCGGTCATTAATGATGTGTTGAGTTTTTGCGCTCACAAGCTACTCTCCCTTGTAGATTCGGAGGAATATCACGTGTATCTTTTTTGAATTTTAATTCCAGGTACACTAAATTAAAACCATCTCTGCTAGCATAACTTATTCTAACCACTACTACCAGAACTACTCCAACTACAAAGGACTGCAGGTGATATGAGGCCCACTGATGAAAGCAGGACAGAGGATTGTAATCCTTTGCTTCTTTGTCTTTGAGCTCATTTTCTCTCAGATGCTCTCCGGCCTTTTTTTTTTTTTTTTCTCTCCATCTGCCGCAGTCAATTTGGCTCAAAGCTATTACAAAAGTGTATTTCTCAGCGTTTTCGCCTCACTATCTCCCTACATCTTAATGGCTTTTGTCACACTGTGACCCACTCGCTAGAAGCTCCACAGAGGAATCATGGCTGACCTTGGTTGCACAGAGCCGGACGCAGCGTGTTTGAAAAGGTAGCGTTCAACAAACAATACGCTGATAAAAAAAAAAGTGGAACCAGTATGTAATCCGACTCATTAAAGACATTCTTATTTCACAAGTTGGTAGATATACTGAACAGCAGCTCAGGTTTAAATACAGACGGACCGCAGACACTTTCATTAGAGGGAAGGGAAGTAATCTGAGCTGAGTGATACCCATCGTGATTATTGGAGAACTGCTGAGATGGACCAACTAAAGAAGACGATGCGAGAAAGGAAAACAAAGGGCAGTATAACAATGCCAATGAAAATAAATACAACAGATACATGTCATTTTGTGAAACTGTAACCCACTCACATGACCTGATACACTGATACACATGATACACTGCTTTGAATGAAACCTCATCGGGAGTCCCGATACAATAAATGTTAGTCAATGACAGTTCTATTCAGATTCCACGATTCTATTTACTGTAACGATTTAAACTTCCCGCTGTGGGTCATATAAAGAATTTCTAACCTCTGATAAACCCAATCAAAAACAACTAAGATGGGCATGTTTTGCAGTGTGCCCGTCTAGGTTTATAAATAGCAGTTGAAGCACCTTGGTGCCACTCTCCAGCCCTGATGTTAAAGATGACCTGGCAGAAAGCCGCTGGCTAAACCAATCAGACACCGCCAGCTGTGTCACAGGCAGGAGCCATGGTTACCTGGCTGCCATGGCAACTGGGGTCAATGTGTCCTGTCAAACTATGATGGATGAGGTAGGAGTTTTTCAAAAAAGGACAGAAAAACATAAGTTTGCACACACACAAACATGCCCACGTTGAGTATCGCCACTGCACATGGTTGCTGGATGGCTGCCATGTAGCATCTGGGATTCAGAAAGAGAGGGAAAAGGGCCCCAGCAGCTTAAATGGCGAGTAATCAAACACGAGTATAACAGGGATCATACTTAGTTTGAGTGGAAATTACCCTCAGAGTTTCACAGGCTCACACACACCGGGTCCCACTTCTTAAAACTTTTAGTAAAATATGTTACGAAAGCTCACAATTAGGCCTGTAATCAGAAAGCCACTTCCTTAATGGATGCCATGAGTTTCTTAACCATCCATGACAGATTTTATTATCCGGTACGAAAAAACTTGCTTCCTGATGATCATATCAAGGAAAAGACAACGTTTTGCCAGGAAAGGAACATTCAAGTACAAGTATTTCTTTAACTTTCCCAAAAAGTTGACATCACTTACAAAATAGCTAGGTATACATATTTTAGATGTTTCTTGATGCTCCTAAAATGTACATGTGTTCTAAAGACAATCTACTACCATTGTGAGATTTTCTTGAATTGTATGTAGAAGAAAAGATAAGCTCAAAGTTCAAACTCCAACGCCATGGCCATTTGTCACCTAGGGTGTCGCCAAAAATCAAGAAAACCAAGAGACTCAGGACGGTCATGAAGAAAACCAAAATTCCATGCTGAAATATTTGTAAAACGATCATTATTTTATAATTTAAAGTTCCAATTTTGGTCAATTCACAATGATGGAGTCATTTTTGAGAGTGTAAATCTTAAATGGCAGCTGTGTTTTCGACTAGAGAGCCATCCTAAAGAAGTCCAACACCAAAAACTGAAAAAACACAAGCCCTGTCCTCTGTGTCGTGTTAGAAGGACAATCCCAGGAGACGCCGCAGAGAGAAAATGGAAAGGGAAAAACAGAGATGGGACGGAAAATGGATGGAGATGGAGAGAAAAAGGGGGGATAAAGGGAAAGAGTGAGTGGTCTAAGAGCAGAGGACGGAGGAAGAGGAGAGTAGGTGTTTTTGGGAGAGTGTGTTTGTGTGTGTGTGTCCGGGCTTATAGACAGCAGGCACAGTAAATCAAGGCCCTGTGCTCCTCTCCCCCAGTTGCACTTAGCTAATGAAAAGCATCACTACGCTACCTCCACCGCGACCCCACTTAGAGCCAAGATGTGGGAGCAGGAGGGAGTGGGAAGGGAAGGGGGGGGGGTTGACTCTCTCAAAGGCATGCTCTTTACCTCTGTAACCGGGACAGGGCATGGACACAAATGAGTCCTGGCACGTACAACCAATCACAAAGCATGCATGTATTCAGTAATGCATGTACACCTTAAGACATAAACCCCACTCATTTGTTATTTATCATCAATGACTAGCTAGTATCTAACACACTCTAGCAACTGATTCATGAAATTGTCTGTTAGCTAGATCTCTTATTAAATAAAGTGCATGCAGTCTGTCAAAAACGTGCTGCAAAAGTAAAAAAATGTGAGCCTAGTGAAGGCAAATTGGAGATAACGACGTGTTAGACCTAAAATCAGTTGGAAACGAACACGACTACCAATGAATTCTAATATTTCCCCCTAACTTATCAGTACAATGTGTCTGTAAGTGTTGCTAATACGTTTTCTGTTTAAGGTGATTATATGTCAATA